TTCTCATATGTCTTACTTCCATAACAATCTTTGTGACGTCAGCGATGAACATGGAGAACGATTCCACAAGGATATCGCTAGAATGAAAACTCGTTATCACGGAAAATCCAGCCAGCACATGCTTTCTGACTACTGCTGGAAGTTGATTAGTGAGGAAAGCGGGATCACTCATAGGAGATCATCTTCCAGATGTTCATTCCAGAACACAGACCCTAAAAGGCGTCAAGTAAAAATGATTCATGAAATTCGATTTTTTGTGAGTTTTTTTTTGTCTCTAAACGGAATTTTCCTCTTAAGGTGAGCTAGAAAGAGATGAACCTTTTTCGATCTTCGACCTCTCTTGGATGAACAATTATACGGATTTGTTCTCCATTCAAATTTGTCTCTGGCCAGTTGCAAGCCCTTCGCCACCCCGCGACCTCCCACTCCTCAGAAATTCAGTCGACAATCACATGTTACTATATCCATTACGATTCTCATTTATTTCTCACCTATTAAAATGCAAAGCTAACCAAAGCGGTAACAGATTGACTGTGTTTTCGAGCCGAAAGAGTTCACAAAAATGAATTTTGAACAAAATCAAAATAATTACTCTAGTGAGAGGGTATCCTGAGTTATGGAACGATTGCTTCGTGAATTTTCTTGACGTGAATCAATTCTTGTGGGAGAGGATTGGTCGAGAGTTGCGTCCCCAGCTCTCAGGTATTTATTTCATCTCATCTATTACATTCTGATTTTTAGCTGGAATTTAGTTTTATTGGTTTTGAATTGGACTTTTCCTGTACGATAGGGTATCAAGCATGGACAAGATTCAAGGGTCTAGTGAACCGTTTCAAATTTCTCCTTGATTTAAGACGAGCAACTCAAGTTCCACCTAGCCGATGGATCTTTAAAGCAGACTGGCCCTTATTCCACGATCTAGCTTTCATGGAATCTTTAATCACCCATGAAGAAAACTAAAAAAAGCATCAGAGATGGGAGAGAAAATAAATATCGATGAGAACTGGCGTGCTATGACGATTTGAGAAATATTCTTAATCCTTTCGACGAAGAAATAATGAAATAATTACATTTATTTCAAAAACGATACCCTTTCTTTAATTCCAATTAATTTAATTCCCATGTTACTTGAAATTCTATACCTTCTAAAGTGAAATAAAAAGGTTCATTCTATGAGTAAAATTCCTGTAAATTTTCCACTAGAAGAATAAAAAACAAATATAATATTCTGCAATATTTTTATCAATTCCATGAGCAAGTATTATTTTATAACATAAATCATTATGACACTGAATAACTACATCGAACAAAACAAAAAACACTCAATCACCACCAAAAGTCATCCCGAGTCAATCAAAATTCATTTTCATCATATTTTTTTCGGTAAATGTGCAGATTGATGCCCTCAGCCTTAATTTTTCTGCCAAACATTTGATGTGTTGGTTGGCCATTCCTGAGCGAATATTTGGTAAATTTAAGAGTCGGAAAACACCTGAGATAAATTTATCAAAAACATTTTGATTTCGGGAGCACAATAGGTGCTATGGTCTGACTGCGGAAAGTTGTTTACATTCCAAGCCGTTTTGCTTGCGAATGTATAAAGACGATGTCAACACGTGCAGCTCAGTCAGTAGAAGGTATCCACCGGTCTGGTAAATATGAAGCTCTTTGCCATAGTTACACCCCACCAGAGTCCTTTGTTGTTCTCTCACTGTAATCTTAATTTATTAATTAATAATTTTTGCTACATGGAGGGCAGCGGTGGATTTAGGTTTTGTTACAGTGGGGGCAACGGGGGGCACCGCACATTCATCTCTTTGTATTGTCCGTTGTCTTAAGTGTGCCCACATGTGTTGTTCATGGGGCCAGTCACCGCCACGTCCACGCCGTTGGCCCCGGGTAATGCAAAGAGCGGTGAGGTAAGTAACTCATTCCATCATCTAATTGGCAATTCCCAGATCTTTCCGACGGTTGAAATTGTGTTTTTTATACATTGTCGGGTGTGGTGAGTCATTCTGTTGAGTTTGGTTGAGATCGGAGGTGAGGGCATTAATATGCACATTTACCAACCATGTTTTTTTTATACTTCATACAATCTAATATTTGATGAATATTCGATAGCCATAGCTGTGGCAGAGACAGAGGTTGACGTGGTCTAATTTTTTAAGATTTGTAAATTTTATATTAATTTCCATTATTCAAACTACGTTCGTTAGTCAATATTACATTTCATGTAAATATTACGTTGATACTCTTGCCTACGTTGAATGACTGATTTTTTACGTGTGGAATTGGTATTGCCTCCGTTCGGAAACTTATTACCAATGTAATTGGTAGAGAGAGAAAAAAATAGTAATGACGCATAAAGTAACGGTCACATGACTTCTGCCAGATAGGCTTCTACCCCTGTTTGTTTTTCTAACTTGAACATTTTGTAAAATTGTTGAAAAAAATCCGTGGAACTTAAATGTTCTAAATTGTTTTCTCCTTCCTCATTTCAACCAATTAGAGTGCAGTATTCGGGGTCACATGACACCTTCATATCAGTTTGATTTGGAATATTTGAACCTCGATATCAATTATTTCCCCACTGTTTATTCCTGAAATTTTCAATATTTGAGAGATACCGACAATTTTCGCTAATTTTCAAAAAACACGGATTTTCTCACATTTCTGCGAGAAATTTCATAATTTTGCTGCATTCGTTGGAAAGTTTCGAGTTCGACTTTTTTTACTCTTCTTTATATATAAGGACATGCGGCTATCCTACTCGCCTCTTCTCTGAGAGGCCACTGCGTCAAATTGGAGGCGACTAGGTACCTCTGGGTTTAACCCAACTTTTTGAAATGGGCGATTCCACAATTCTGGAGTTCAGGACGCCACGCACACCACACATATTTCGCGATGTTAAAACCCAGAGGTAGTTAACCCGGAAGGAGTGTGTTTATATACATATATTGTAAGGGATTCTGGGGAAATCCTTTCGCTCGTCGCGAGATCAACGGAAAAACTACCGGAAAAACCGTAAATATGCAGAGAAAATGACCCAGTAGAGCCAATAGTTTCGAATCAATTCATTTTTGTTAATAATTGGAGATTTCGAGTCATTTTGGATTCATTAGAATTTCGGTTTTGCGTTCTTACGCCTTTTTTTCTTATCCTTTTTTTTTCGTTATTGGGAATTTTGTTTTGCGTTCTGACGCCTCTTTCGTATTTTTGGATTCGTTTTGCCTTTTCTTTTGCGTTTCACGCTTTCTGTTTTGTTAATTGGATGGGGAAAAATTAACTATATAGGGCCGATAGAATTTTCGTGACTTAGGCCGAGATATTACCGAGCTGCGTGATCAGTTTTGAGGATTTTTTCCTTGGTTTCGAATTTTCGGGGATTGTGTAGGAGTAGTTGGAATACTACCGCTCAATTAGGGTCAACAAGGTCACGCGGTCAATCCCGACCGTTGCTCTCGCGTGAATCGCCAAGGTCGTTTGAGTTCGATTTTTCTAATTGTTTTCATTTTTTTGCAATTAAGTTTTGTTCGTTTCTTTCGTAATCTATTTCCCTAGCCCCGTCTTCCCGAGAGTCCGACTCCGGAGAGGAGATTATAATTAAATAGAAATTTGTCTTGAGTTAAAAACCCACTCTGACATCCATTTCAATCGTTGGAGTAATTAATTTTTGTTTAGCGTTATTGAAATTTGAATTTCGTTAGGTAGAAATCCCGGTTACCGACCGTTATGTAATCGTTGCGCAATCCAGGCGCACGTGGCGCTCTGTCCACGTCCCTCTCCGTGCGCCGAGCCGCCATTGAACAGCAGTATCGATTCTCGCAGCGTCAGAGTGACCACGTGTTGAGTAGTTTGGATTTATTGTGCCGTTGGTGAATCGATTATTGGTAGTGTAAGACAATAGTGGGTGAGTTAGGAACATTTTGAACGACGTGAGTAACATATTGGGCGAGATTGAGGAATTTTGACTGCGGCGTAGGCGAATGGGAAATTGCGTGGTATTCGCTGGTGAGTTTCGCACATATGTTTGGTGTTGGAATTCGCATGTCTCGGGTTAATGTCGCGTTCTTTTCTCATCTCAGGGTTTTTGAATCATAATTTATTGATTTTGAGGTCTTGCTCTGTGCGGTAGAGCTTAAATAACGCCTAATAATTGCATTAATCGCCTGTCAGGTTTTGCGGGTTTGACGCCGCGGGAGATTTCCATCTGCCGGCCATTTTCCACTCACCACCGACTTCCTGTGACCCTCGGGCCTCAACTTTAATGCCCTGCACCCCAGGGGACCCCGCAGCGCGCCGATCTCCTCTTCAAAAGGGATGCCTCCGAGGGGCAAAGGGGGGACGTGCTCGTGCGCTTCCTGGAAAAAGGGGAGAAGGAGCGTCCGAAATTTCCCAATCTCGGCCCCTTACTACTCACGGTTGATATACTCACAAATTTTAGTTTTTGTGTGTTTTCGGAGAAAACGTACTGGCGCCTAACTTTTTGATTATAAGATTGGTCGCCGAGGACTGCGTATTTTTGTCTCGTGTCCGCAGAGGGGCAAAATACGTCACAAGATATATATTATTTCATATTTAAAATTTCATCAAATATTAAATTCAATTAAAAATATGACATAATTGATTAAAGAAATTTCATTGGATTCAATAAAATAATATGAAGCAATGAATTATATACTACAGAAGCAGATGATATGCGAAATGACCATTCGGAAGCATATTGCTAATTTATTAGCAAAAAAATTATACTATATTGATACAAAAGCAATTTCCCACTTGTTTAATTAATTTTTTTTTTCAAAATAATCGTTTGATACCCAATTTTAGAAAAGAAATTAGTAAGAAAATCCCTGACGTCAATTGTTTTGGGCTCCGGATTTATCCTGGAACTGTTCATGTACAGAATAAGATCCATCCATCTCCTTGCATAGAGAATTAAGAACGATCAATCATTTACATTGAGTACAGTTTTCAATCTTTGATTTGTTCATTTCCAGGTTCGTGACGAATATCGATCTGATTTCGATGGTGGCAGAGGTGGTTATGGAAAAATTCTACAGCAAAAAGTCACTCCAATGGGTGAAGGAGGTTTTACGCGATAAAACAAATCAAGTTTTGATACACTAACGAAGCAACCAAGAGAGCTAACATTCTTTCAGTTGAGGTTCTTACTGTACATTTTTTATTCGTTAGGTCACTTAGTTAAACTGATCATTTTTCTCCTATGTTCCTCACTCATTGAAGATTAAATTGATAATTAGATACATCCTACTATCTGTTCAACTGACAACTGTAACTAACAAAACAAAAATTAAACGGACAATATGTGAAATCAAGTATACCCGAGGCAATGTCATTTCATGTACAATGTTCGCTATTCTTTATTCATTACGTATAAAATATTATTCTTCCTAAAGCATAAAATTATTACTGTGTTGAATAATGAAAATATTTTAAAATTTTTCGGGACAGGCAGCCTCAATCTGACAATTATATATGATGAAAATTCTAATGAACATTTCATCGAGAATTATTCCAAGTATTTACACTAGGAGTAGTTTATTCTGTACAGATAAGGCACATCGAACTGTACGTGAAAAAAGTCTTTGATCACGGCATTTTCTCATCGTACTCAGAAGAAAAACTCATGTAATGTTGCTCATACATTCAAAGTTTTTTTTTCATAAATTTGATAATACGATTGAAAATTTAATAACTCATTCTCAGTATTCAAACATTGAAGAATTTCACAGTATGCAGCATAATTTTTTCCCGGCTGGCTTCTTCAAAACTGCTCTGATTGCTTCGGCAAATACTAGTTGGAGGTTCTCTTGATTCATCGCTGAACATTCAACATATCTTGACGCACGAATTCGTTCTTTCATTTTTTTACATTCTTTTGGTGTTATTACTTCGGTTCCTGTCTGATTTCTTAGGTCACCTTTTGTGCCTGAAATGATAAAAAAGAACATGTTAGATTGAATCATTGATAGGATTTTTGTTCAGCAGTCAAAATTCCACCATTCATGTGATGATCTCAAAAGTAAGGAGTTTCAAAGATAAATGTCACCAGACTTTTTATGGAGCTGTATGAAATCATAATAAATTAAGTGCCTTTAATGTTCTGGTTGGAACTGATAATCTTGTTCTTGTTGCTTTTATTCTTTTACTTCTTACATGGAATAAATAAATCTATGACCTGTTTTATATGCGCAATTCCCACAAAAATGATACAATGAATTTCAATGGAATCTTCACTCGAGATACCGCGAGACGAGAAGGAATATTTCTCCCGTCGAATGAGATACTCTCGTCTCGTCGCGTCTCGTTTCCACATGTATCATTAAATTTTTGTGCTCTGAAAGGTCAGTTGTAAATAGTCTATCGAGATTTTTTCATCGTGAGTTCAAATATAGCCCAGTGTATGGTAAGCTAAGGCTGAAGCGTGTTCCCACCGATACTTGGAAGAGACTTGACAATCACAAAGCTAGGCGAGGCTTTTACTACTGATGGAACTAACTCCATTGGGGGAAGCAATGCAACTGCCCTTCTCCTCGTGAACGAAGAAAAACTTAAAAAAAAATAATTCAATTTATTAGATTTTTCACAAACCCGGTGATATGAATACAGAGTATGAAACATGTCTTGTCTTGTTTAGTTTCTCATCATCCTTCTCTCGTCTCGGCGACATCTCCAATTTTCACTGATAATTAGATTGAATTTCAAGTCCTCGTTATGATTCAAGTTATAAAATACTGTGCTCAGTTCCGCACAACAAGGTATACCATAGCAGTTCTAGAACTTTCTGAAGATTTCTCGAATATTCTGGGAATTGCTAGGTTTTCTAGGAATTGCTACAATTCTAAAAAAAAACAGAGATTGACAGATTTATTCAAAAATGTTGCGATTTCTGGAACATCCAACTAAATTTTCGGGTCTCCTGCGAAACTCGAAAAAATTCTAAATTTTTCTAGAAAATTCAAAAGAATTCTCTTTATCTAGCGACAGAACCCTTTTGAATTATTATAAAATTATTGCGCCACGTTCCATACTGCAGTATGTGACATGCATACGGTCATTCGAAACTATACTAGTTGGTGTATAGTAAACCTAGAAACTAAAAAGTCACTGAGCCTGCAAAATTCAGAGTTGATACGTTTCGGAATGGTATTTTTTCGAAATGTGAAAAGTTAGAGGTGATGGATAATTGGACTGCGCTTTTCTCAGAATCAACGATTATCGAGAACTTATCGTGTTGGAATCGTTGAAATTAGGTATGTGTTGCAATGTGTTATTTTCATTACAATTATTTCATCGTTTTATGTAGATCGTCATATGGTCTTTCTGTTGTTAATTTGGTCGCCACCAGACTTGAAGCCAAACTTTCCAACAACGAGAGTTATTTTTGAGAGTGATTCTATTTCATTGACTCATTTTTATATTAAGTACCCCCCACTCATTGGTCGGAAGACTTCGGTGGAATTCGAGAAACATTGAGGGATTTTTGGCACTGTCATCTTTCCCGCTGAAACCGATGGAATCTCTAGTATCTACTGGGTCTTGTAAAGCTTTGAAACTTGATCGTGAGACTATGGCGCTGAGGCGACAGGATATTCTAGACGAATGGGATGGGAGTCTACGTCAGGGAGAGACAGTACCATCATTTGGGCCCAGCGATGCCGTTGGATTATAATTTGATATTGCTTAATTAATTGAATGTAGCCGGAAGGGCAGAATGCTAATTTATGAGCCGATGCTATAATCAAATTTTCAATTTGTATCTTCGTTCTGTTGAAATAAGTAATTATTCAATGCATTTTGATAACGCGGAGACGTAATTTCGTTAGAGCGCAGGGGTGAGTTTCTAGGATCAATGATAATTGGAGTTCTATAGCAGGGAGGGGACAGCGCTCATCGAGTGATCGTAGCTCCCAATTACGGCGGTTACAATAGATCAGGGATGGGCAAAGTCCAGGTAACTCGGAGCTACTGCAATAAAACCAATTAGAAAGGGCTATAAAGTTTACAACTCTTCCAATTACACGGGTTCCCGTGCGATCATAAGTGGGGGTAACGAAGTGAGTGCAGTGGGGATAGCTGCATGAAGAGTGCCTCATGCACTGTCAGTCACTGTCTGTTAGTCAGAGGGGGCCCCATAAATAGAGCCATAAAAATCCTACGCCCGGTACAAAGGAGCCTATTCAATCCATTGTAACCGAGCTAATTGGGTCCGGGAGCTACGATCACTCGATGAGCGCTCTGTGCCCTTCCCTGTTCTATAGTCGTAAAGCGGAGGCCAATAAGATTTATTGCCGCGCAATTGATGGTTACCGTGATACCTAAGGTAAATGTCCCGGTACCTGACTCAGTCCCAATAGCTGAATCGGCGAGTATCCGATTGCCAATTTCTTTCGATAAGTAATTATTTCTTCTCAAAAATGATGATATTTAATTTTTTTAAGAAGCGTAGGATTTCAATGATTCTAACGAAATAAATTCCATGTGGTTGGTATTCCCGAAATAATTTGGATTCAACAATTAAAGTTGATACTCGCTTGAATTGCTCCTCTCGGTCCGATTCCTAGCGTCAACTACTAAGAGGTGACTCATCAAATGATAGTGATTCATTCAGTCATGCGAGTATTGAAAAATTATTTAAACAATTCATCAAGCAGGGACTGACTTAAATTTTCGTAAAAGTAGTAAAAATTTCTAGAAAAACAATTTTTTATGCCAATAAATAGCTATTCAGGTATTGGGCCATCAGGCCTAACCTATGTCCGAGTAGCTGAATTCGTTGTTTCACTATTAAGTTTCGTGTTGTTACACGTGTGAGATATTGTCATCAGTGAAACTATCGAAAATCCTTCAGTGCACGTGAATAAAATAATCAGAAATTTTGTTTTCTTCAAACTAAATTTTTCCTCTAGAGAGAAATTTTAGAGAGAGTCTGCACATCTACCGACTGGAATCTGAAGAGTGTTATTTTATTGAGGAAGCTTCCTGAATGTTTCTTCTATTTGCATAATGTCATGATGATGATCCATATGTCATAATATTCGTACCAGTCTATTATTTAATGAACGATATTTATTATTAAGTGTAGATTTCCGTGGCAATAACTTATGATTCGACTACTGGGACATGGGAATTCAGGTATTGGGAGATGGACGTTTTTTGGATTCAACTACTAGGACATAGCTCTTACATAATAAATTCGTTTAGTTTGAAGTTTGTTTAATATTTTTATGGCTAAAAATAATTTTTTTCGGTCAAATAAAGTTGGATAATCCTCTAGATTAATTCCTCTATGACCAATATAACCGAATTTATTTTTATGCACGTTCTTTCATTGACTCTTCCTTAAAGAGTTAGCTACCGGGACATTCACCTTATATTAATTTGGGCGATCGGTTCTGTTTTGGTGGTGATAGCGTGCGGTTGTTTTCCACGCCTGTCATGTATTTTTTGTAAGACGCCATTTTCGGAAGCCATGTGTGGACTTCGGCGGGCCTTTTTGGGTTCTAGTTCATTGGAATTTTTGCATTGATCGGGACGTTTGAGTGATCACCATGCAGCTGGTAGTTCTTTTGATCTTCGAGTTGTTTTGTGGCTGAACTTTGTTGAGCGTGGTGGCTAATCAATTTTCATTTTGTAAGGGCAGGATCTCTGATCTTTGGCGTCTCGGACGCATGTTAGAGTCTTTTAAGTTAAGGCCCATGACAGATCTTGTACTTGATTATCTAGTTTTAGTTTCAGACGAGAGCTTGTCCGCTCAATAAATAATTTTTCCTTTGAGTCGTTATATGTTTAATTGGTTGAAGCTTTCCACGTATGAAAAAATTCTTCCTTAGATAATCTTAAATTAGATTATTCTTAAATTTAGTAAATCCGTGTCCAATAATTTTAATAGAAAAAATCTCAAGACGAAAAATGAAACAGAAAAATCGAAATCTATTGACTTTTTCCTATCAAATATCTCATAGAATCAGTGTAAAAAACAAATAGAATTTTAACGAGAATTGCCTAGAATTTTAATAGAATCCCAATAGAATTTCTAGAGAATTCCAATAGAATTTTCTAGCGAATTCGCCAAGTTTTTCTGTTGAATTTTTTCGTACGTATCATTCACGTTCATTTGTATTTGTGCTCATTTTTGAATGTTTTGCTGGTGAGAATTATTCGATATTGTAGGAGTTTTGCGATCTGTCGAAATTAATTCATTTTCATTCGGTTACGAACGAAGTCTCGTTGTTGTTGTATACAAGGTGTCCCATTTGAAGCAGTATGGCGCAATATCTCTTGTACGGAGGATGGAATAGCAAAATTGCTCAAATAAAAGTTGTAGGGTTCGGAGGGGGAAATTTAGTGCTGATGGAATCTAGGCCCCCATTGCCTATGTTTCTATGCTACGAGCATAAAGTCAGTTTTTTAAAATGACAACAATATTTTTCACCCCTACAAAAGTTGTTCGTCTCGCCGAGAAAAGTTCAACCATACCATGTTTTTCCATGGCGTCATCGTTTTCATGTGAATAATCGTACGAAAATCAAATTAACGGAAATCATCTTTATTAAGACTATCTTACAAGTTCTATTCCACCTACGGTACATGTGTCTTCGTGTAGGTATTGGGAACAGTAATTACAGAAGATGTTCGACGTTACCGCCATTAACAGCAAGGCACAACTCCAGCCGGTGTCGGAAACTGCGAACAACAGAACGGAGGACTTCAGATTGAATGTTCTCGATTGCTTGTCTGATCTCTCACAGAAGAATAACATCTAGCTCATGCAACGTCCCTTACCTACCTCAGTCATTTTTTATTTACATGGTACATTGACGAGATAGTAAATAAATAACATTCCAGTGTTTCTGTGTGGCAAGATATAGTCTGAATAAAGATATTTCCCTTTCGTTTGATTTTCGTACCATTATTCACATGAAAACG